AGAAAGAAAGAAAGAAAGAAAGAAAGAAAGAAAGAAAGAAAGAAAGAAAGAAAGAAAGAAAGAAAAACAAAAACGGGCCCACCACCACTCCTTCCGGGGTGGGAAGGAGACTCGGCCCTCATAAAACCCAATTCTCTTTTAATTTTAATTTTCTACTTCTCTGGTAGAGGGGTCACCACCCTTGGGCTCACTAATAGCGACCACCCGCTTGACAACTTCAAGTAGGAGGGGCTGGAGTGGGGCACGTCTTTATAATGGGGTCGGAAAAGGAAAGAAGGAAAAGGAAAGAAGCTGTACAGGGGCTAGGGTGGAGGTACAGGTCACAGGCTCCTGCACCAGGGAGGAAAGCGCTGGAGGCTGCATGGCCCAGCTGGGAGGCAAGGGCTACCGCTAGCTTTGCGGGGGCGGGGGGGTGGGGGGGGTGGGGGCTAGACTCCCCGGCCAGCTGTGATGCAGGGCTGCAGGTCACACTGGGAGATAGGCCCTCTGAGCCCTGGAGGCAGTGTGAAGTGCAGCTCCAGACCCAGAGCCAATTACTTATAACAGGCTTAGGGGCAACCAACGCAAAGGTCAAGCTTACTGGCTTCTGGTTGATCGCCTGGCCAGGCACTTTAATGGAGGCAGCCTGCACCCAAAGGACACCTGTCGCTGCAGTGCAGCCACCTTCCGTGTCCTGTGGCTGAAGTTGTTTCTACTTTCCCACCGGCTTCTGGAGCTCCACACGGCGCTAGGGGCTCCTCAGCCCAGAAGTCTTGGAGTGCCCAGCAGGCCCCCCGTGCAGTGTGCCAGCCCAGGTCAGAATCTCTCGTGCCAGGCTGCAGCCACCCTGTCTGGGGACAGAGACGCTGAATGGTGATCGGTTGAGAAACACCGGGACACCCAAAGGAACGCTGTGGTGACCAGGCCTCCCCAGCCCTGTTGCTCAGAAGTGCCCAGCCTGGCAGCCATGGTCACCCACAGGCCATGTGCTAGCAGGGAATGCTGGCCAGCATGCCATTACTTACCACCGGAGTCTGCTGGACCCATGGGTCCTGGTGCCCCTTGCCCACTGTGCCACCTGCCCCTCTGGTTTATAATTCCAATCAGGAAAAGAAGACTGTGCTCTGGCCTGCCTGCCATTTTTCTTCTAGTCGCCTCTCTGTCCTGCAGGGTTTCAGCTCACCTACTTTCGGTCTCTCCTACCCTGACCTGCCCTGCCCAGCCCCAAAGGAGCAAAGAGGCAGCCAGAGAGGCCCAAATCTGAGGCCCGGGCCCCAAACAAGTGCCCTGCTCATGGCTAGGGCCTTCAGGGCCTGGCCCTCCGGGTGCACTCCCCTCTCTCCCAGGCCCGGAGCAGCAAGCACGTCTCACCTCTGGCTGGGGTGCACACACTTCCCCTCCCAGAAAAAGAGATACGAATGAAAAAAGGAAAAAATAAAAGGGAGAGTTAAAGAAATGAAGAGAAAAGAAGAGAAAAGAAAACAAAGGAAAGGAAAAAGGAAAGAAACGAAAAGAAAAGGAGGGAAACCAGAATGGACCAGCATGATCACAAAACAATTCCTGATTCGCCGGGTCCACACTTGGGCCAGAAGACCGTCTAGTCCCCACGGCGCTAACACCCTGGCTCCTCTCTCCAACAGGAGCCGAAGCTCCCGGCGCGGCCTCCCCAAGACTCCCTGGCACTGGCACTTCAAGCCAGCTCCAGCTCCCCGCTTGGGCCGAGGCTCTCGGCCGCCCACCTGCGGCCTCACCTTCGGGGAAGACGGCCCGCATCTTCAAGTAGCTGGTGGTGAGTCGGATGATAGACGCCTTGTCCAGCTGCGAGGTGATGGCCGACGGCAGCGGGAGCAGCTTAGCCAGCTCATAAAACTCGCCATTTTCCTTCTCCCTCCTGGTCTTGGCCGCATTCTTGGACTTCTCCTTCATCGCGCCTCGGCTCCGGGCATATTAGACCCGGCCGTGCTCCAGGCCCTCGGAGCCCCGCTCCGGCTGCAGCGGCAGGGATGGGGAAGGGGACTCTGGGGGCCAGGTGAGTCTGGGGCACCGCCCGGGGCAGGTGCGCGGGGCAGGCCTGCGGCACCGAGAAGCCTCTCCGCAGCCGCTGGGCCCCGGAGCTCGGCGCAATCCAGCGGCGCCGCTGCGCGCTCTGCCCGCCGCCCCGGGCGCAGCCTCCTCCGGGCTGTACTGTCCCGCGGTGCCCACAGCCCGACTTCCCGCTCGCTTCTGCTCGCTCTTCCTTTCTCCCTCCTGTCTCTCGCGTCTCGGTTTTCCTTAGGAGGTGGAGAGTAGCCAGCGAGGAGGCAGCGGTGCCGCTTAGTCCTTGATCGAGTGTTCGTACCCGCTGCCGAGAGGCCCCTCCGCACTGGAGGGCGGCATGGGCGGCGGCGGCCGCGGGGCCATGGAGCGGGAGGGGAGCGGAGGGGAGCTGGGGCGGAGGCGGCTGGGGCCCGGCCCGGGCGCGCTCTCCTGCCCTCCCTGGCGGTTCCCTCTGCTGGGAGACGCGGCGCCCGGAGCCCGCGATCAGTCGCGAGCCGCAGCAGCTCCGCGGTCCACGTGCGACCGAGCCGCGTTTGTTTATGGCGGACCCGCCTTCGGGCGGAGCACTCGGCCGCCGCGGCCCGGGGGGAGGGGGGGCGGGCGGGGGGAGGGACCGCGGCAGGGGCGGGGGCAGCGAATCTCGCCTCCCGACCCCGCCGTGGCCCCGGAGTCACAGGCGCGCCTCCGCATCGCGGCCTCCAGGGACTCTCCCAGGAGAGGCCCGCGCGCTCCCGGCCTCGAGGAAGTCTCGGTGAGTGCACACGGCGCGCCGTGGGTACAGGCTCCGGCCCCCGGGTCGCGGGACCTGGGCGCTAGCTTGGGCGGTGGGGAGGAGCGGAGGAGGGACGGAAGGGAGGAAGGGATGCCCAAGCCTCCCCTGTGGCTCCCAGACAGGTCCTGGGAGCGCGCGGCCGAGGGGAGGCGGCTTGACCCTCCGGCTTGTGCCCTTCGAATACTCTGAGCCTCGCGCAGGTCCCGCGCCCTCACTTCCCCACTTTGCAGGTCCGAGAGCCGAAAGGGGGCAGGCCCGAAGGGAAGACCCCCCCTCCCTCAGGAAAGAGCGGGAGAGAGCCTCTGCCCCTTCTGCCCTTTCTCTCCTCGAAACACAGGAGCGAAAGAAGATCGGCGCCTTCGCGGAGGGGCTGCAGGCCGCGGGGACGCGCGGGCCAGACGAAAGGAGGGGGCCGGGGAGCCGAGCCTAGACGCCAGGCCTCGCCCAGGGCGGCGGCGGCGGCGGCGGCGGCGGCGGGCACAGGGTCCTACAGTACCCGCTCCAGCAGCCCGACTCTGTGCAGCCGGAATTTCGGGGACTCGCGGCTGGGGTGGGTACTTCAGGCCAGGGGTGGCCGAGCTAGAGTAATCGAGTGAGCCTTGATAGGAGCCAAGGTGGTGGGCCCGGAAGCCCTTGGAGTGGGGAGGCGCACTTGGGAGGTGCAGCCACAGGGCGTCCTGGTGCCTTCCCTCGGGGGCCACACTGGGCCGCAAGAGTCCTCTTACCCACTCTCACGCCACCCCCCGCCCCAGCTTTGCGCCTGCAACCCCAAGAGGGCTCTCCTCCAATCCCCGACGGTCGCACCGACCCTCGCCCTTATAGCGGTTTGAATACTGCGGCCACCGCGCGCATGTGCGCGCTGGGAGGACGCCAGCCTCTCCCGCGCGTGGGGTCAGAGGGCAGCTGCAGTGGACTCGGGGCACGGGGTCTTGCGGGTCCCTCGACCGAGTGCCGCAGACTGTACGACTGTGGGGCGCCTGATTTTGAGGTGGGCTCGCGGAGGCCGAGAGACGCCGGGGCGGCGGCGCTCCGCGCTAGGATCTCCTTTTCAGCGGCCACCGCTCTCCCTCCCAGCCAGGTAGGAGCCTGCTGCTCCGCGCACTCACTGACCGGGGACCCGCCTTCCTCCCTCACGCCTGAGGGGGGGGGGGCGAGAAGAGGACCACCAACACTGCTGCGGGCGCCCCTGACATTTTCTGGGGATCCCTTTGAAGGGACAGCGTTGGAGGCGTCTTAGCTACCTCGGTGGGCAAGACCGTGTGCTCAGACTCCGGCTTGGTTCCCCCCAGCCCCGCGCCCTGCGGAACCCACAGCCGTGACCTTGGCTCCCGGGGCTGGCGCTCCGAAACCACAGAGCAGCGCGAGTTTCGGAGTTGGTGCCCCCCCCCCCGTCCCCCGCCCAACCAACTGCCGAGCGCAGCACTTTCCCTTGGGGTTTTGGATCTAGGAGCACTTTCCTGTTTCCAACGGTGCGTGCAGAAGGGTCTGGACGGCGCGCGAGCGGTGAGGGTACGTAGTACCCAAACGCAGGGCGCGGGGCCCACTTCACTGCCCGGGATCTCGCGCCTGACTGCGCAGACTGCTGTAGTCTTGAGGCTTCCCGGAGAACGGGCTCCAAGAGGCAGGGACTGCCGCCTGGGGGCTGGGTCCCGCCGCAGGCTGCACAGGCCGCCTGTGAGTGTGCTCCGGCACTTCCCTGGCTTCGGGAGGATTCAGCGTTCCCCTCACCCCCACGATTTCTGATCCCCAATTATGGACCCAAGAGAATTCCTCCTAGGCTTGAAAGGGATTACTCAGATCGCAGGAACATGGCTAAGTGGAAGTGGGAGAGACCCAGCAAGTAACAGAAACTTTTCTTAAACCAAATTTCCCGGATTTTCCGGGAAAGCGTATTTGAGATCTCGTGATCTCATCTTCACAGTAGCTGTTCTCCCATCAGCAGGACGGGTCCGAATCGCGGGGTTCGAGAAGTAGCACAACGGAGCGTCTGAAGACTCATAGAATTGGGGGTATGGGACACTTCCAGTCCTAAAGCCTGCCTCAGCAGACAGCGAAACGGGCATTGTATATCTCCCCAACACATTCATTCAAGATACACACACACACACACACACACACACACCGCGATGGGTCTGAGCTCCCTCCCACGCCCCCATCACCGAAAGTACCCAACATACTTGCACGCAGACCTCGAGGTTTCCTGGGTGGTAAGGAGAGTGACATGCGTGGAATAGTGAAAGAAGAACGATCCCCTCCCCAGAGCGTGCCTGCCCCAGAGCCCTTTCTACCAGAAGGAAAGCCTAGGACCCCTGTTACACTCAGAAGGAACACCCACAAGCTCTGTGTGAAGTGGGAGAAGCATTAAATAGGTGCTTATTAAAGTGATCTGGGCGTCAGCGGTGGCCGCTGGCTGGGACACCTGCTGCGTGTCCCTTGCTCCAGGGCTCCTGGGCAAGCTTTGGGGCTAACTCCGAGTGCCTCCCCCAGAGCATAGAGACGGGCCTGCGGGGGAGAAGTATAACAGCCACGAAAGACCCTGAAGCCCGGGCATCCCCCCAAAACAGGAGTTCCCCTGCTGGCCTGGAAGGAGCCTGCAGAATCTAGAATGAAGGGAGGCTGGGGGGCAGGAAGAGGGCTTGTGAGGAGGGCCCACACATTGAGGTCAGCAAGCTTCGGGAGTACGGCGTGTTCACCAGGCGCCCCCACCCCCAGTCCTGCTTTGCACGCTTTGGTGCACCCCGAGGTGCACCAGCCCGCCTCTACATACCCCCCACCTCTTAGAAATTTTCCATTAGGAAACTGATCTGGAAGAAATTGAGGCCCCAAGAGGAAAGGGGCGGGCCCAGGCCGCCCCACATCTGCTTGGATTTTCCGCTTCAGATGCTCCGCAACTGTTTTTCCCCAGGCCGCGCCCGGCGCCTACCTGAGGCCCATCCCCCGCGGAAACCGACTTTCGAGGGAGATCAAGGGGGAAACGCGCAGATGTTCTACCGGGGATGGGCTCCCGGAGAGGGGGCTGCCGTGGCAGAAGGGGATCAGAGACTTTGCCACGAAGGAGGTGGGGGCGGGGAGAGAACTCCTACCATCCCTAGCACCGTGGGGGAGATGGTGCCGAAGCTCTCATGTGACAGCTAAGGAGAGCTCCAACCGCTGGAGCAAAATGAGGCAACCGAAAATCCAGGACTAGAGAGATTCGACTCTATTCAATTTATAAGCCTTTGTCTACACAATTAGCAAGATAAGGTTACTCCAGAAGATCCCGCTTGCGTCTAGCATCACGTATATGACTATTATGGCTAGGAGGCGTTTTGGGTCTGAGCTATCCCGAAGTGTACTCCGATTTTTCACTCCCCATAGAGCTATCCCAACTTTTCCTGGAGTCATCGCTATTGCAAGAAAGGATCAGACGACAATTTCAATATCGCTGCTCATTGTTTAAAAGTAATTCGAGGTAGCTAGAGCTATTTCATAGTGATTCCATTCCTCCAGAGGTGTAGACAGTAACTAGCTCTGCTCACATATTTCCAAGTAGAGGAAGAGAAGTTGTATTTTTGTTTTGTTTTTAAGAAATTCTTTCACTGGAAGTTACTCCTTTGGAGAAAGTGTTCGCCTTCAGCTTGGTGGGCAGGATCTCTGAGTCTACTGCAAGAACTAGGGCAGATCCTCCGTGGGCATGGGGTCCAGGGAACCCTTCCCGCCAGTCTTTGGCCCTCAGCTTGGCGCCTCAGGCAGTCTGGGGTGGGGAGGCAAGAGAAGGAGGCATTCCAGGGTGAGGCGGGGGGGGGGGGGGGGGGTAATTCCCAACTTCTGGGTTCCTACATGGGCCTGCTCTAAGTTGACACTGTTCTCTGGGATTCCGAAAAGAACATGGTCCTTTTCTTCCGACTCAGTTGTCTAGGGCAACTTTGGGTTCTGAGATCGGGGCCTCAGATCACAGCAGTGCCTCTTGACCTAGGAATGGAATAGCTGCTGCCCACTTCTCTCCCTCCCTCAGAGTGATGCGTTTAGGGGAAGAAAAACAATGCCACTGGTAATTAATTATAGTGATTAGCAAACTCCCTGAGCACGGGCCACAGGGTGCCACGGAAGCCTCGCCAGGTTCGGGCGGGGAAAAGAGAGCCACTCATTTCTTCAGCTTTTACCTGCAGGGGAGAGGGTAGCCTGGCCTTTGCA